TTTGCCATTGGGTAATGTAATTAAGTTTTATTCACTTAAAACCCTTTATTGTATTTTAGTGACGTGTGGCAAATTTTACTAACAACGTGGTTGCTGAAATTGTAATTTAGTGTTGAAATGTATGTAAACATGTACATGAATGTAAGGGTGTGGGTGAAAATTACCAAAAGTTGGTGTATATGGGTTTACACAGGACAGTGGAAAGTGGAAGTGAGAATTACCTAGAACTAGTCGATGTATGGCTTCCCAAACGTCAGCCGGTATATTGTCAGTGGGTTATTTTTGGCATACGTTCCAAACCAGTCGACGAATGGCTTCCCATACGTCGACCGGTATCTCAACAGTGGGTATTACCACTGTTCATGACCCAAACCAGTCGACGTTTGATGCATATACGTCGACCGGTTTACGTCACATATGTAATTACTATTTAAGTTCTTAAATTACACTTTAGCACCTAAGTGAGGTTACACACAATTATTTTATGACCTACTAAAATGCAATAATTGTATTTTGACCACCGAAAAGACTATATTGTCCCGGATCTTATTTTATTTATTGCGTGATGTAAGTAAATGACTATTATATCCTTGAGTCTCAAATTATTGATTTGTAATAATTTACTATTTTGCCCTTTTGGACCTTGTCATTTAAATTTAATGTGAAATGACCGTTTTACCCTCAGATGATTTTGTGTCGGGTAAGGACCCGTTTAATGATCCGGATCCATGAGGATTTGGGTCATTACAACAAACCCTATTGCAGACCATCTTATGTATATTTATAGGTTAAACATAATCCAACCCTAGTCCTAATTGAAATCCAAGTTTGACAATGAAGGAATGAAAATAAAATAAAATAAAAGGAAAATAACACGTAATACATATATATAATATACTGTACGTGACTACATAAATATATATTTATAAAATATAATTTATACTTATATATATGCATCTTACCATCCTAGTATAATAATAATTACTTATTATCAAATAAATTCCTATATATATATATACATCCCTCCATGGGTTAATATCCGTACCCATTAGAAATCCTATCCAACTAGTCCATGCGACCCATTAGTGTGGTCCATTACTACTATCCACTGCCCAACTCCTTTATATAAAAATAAAACATTTAAATCCTAGCAATTAAGCTACACATAATACACATCAACAGATAAAAATAATTCAATTAAAATATTTAAATTCAAATAAGCCAACAAATTATATTTAATCACTTAATTAAATTAAACACATAAACAAATCATCAATTAATCAATTAAATAAACTAAAAATGCAATTAAATAATTAATTAAATACTGAGACTATCCTTCTAAAATTAGGGGTATTACAAATTCCGAGTTATACATAATATTAAAATCTCAAGGTTGAACAATTGACCATAGTATGAGATTCGTGGTTAAGTCAATCCCTAAGATCTTCTCTCTTTGATCTAAATACTTTTACTTAGTTTAATTTTTGTTCATGTTATTGAATCACAACACACAACAAACAAATTTTTTCTCCTAAATTAAAATAGTAATTAATTAAAAACTCGATAAACCACCATAATCCCTGAGGTTCGACACCCTCTAGTAGCCCTATCCTGCAAATGATTCGTTCTATTGCGAGTGGTATAAATTCTACACATCAATCATTGGACTACGTGTTTACTTGTTAAGTGGCTTGTTAATGATGAAAACATGTTATATGTGATAATATGGCAAGTAGTGAGTATGGATTATGACAAATATGTTGTGTATGGTAATATGACAGATAGTCGAGCATGGATTATGTAAGCGTGTATTATATGGAAGGATGATGAAGATGAACATGATGTTTAATTTCACGTAGTAATTTAACGAGCACGTTATTTAAATTGATGTGATAGGAACGGCTGTGTCAAGGTATATGTTCCGATTATTTTATATATATATATGCATGTATAAGAGTATGCGGATGGACATGTGATAGTTACTAGCGTTGCTGAGTGCTCGTTAACGGTGTTGTTTGTTTTGTGGGTCACGACTTGAGCAGACGTAGAGTTCAGTTGCTTAAAAGTTTGTTTCGATGTTAGTTCTTATCGAACAAATGACGTAGGTTCCTAGCTCGTGGATTGAGCCATTCGATATGTGGTCATTCCGATCCTCTAGTTACATTTTAGTGCGGTGCTTAAGGAACGACCTTAGAACGGGTTCATGTTTCATGGCACGGTGTTTATGTTGTGTATGAGTTTCATACATCAAAGTATGGGGGTCTTGTGACCATAGAGGTCAGGTTTGTGATGTGGGATTTTCGTGAAGGACAAGTATCTTTAGGGATTCGGTGTTTGTGATTTAAGTCACGATTGGGTGTGATGGTTCTCTTCGAATCGATTTGTGATACGTATGATATATATATTGGTAGATTTATGAGTATGGTTTGTAGATTATGGGCGTATGTTTCGGCTACTTTAGTACACTCTGATGAGATGTGTCGGTTATGATTGTTAACGAGACTTTCTTGGTCCTAGTAGGTATAAACTAACAAAAGTGTTGAACAGGGTTATACCAGTGCAGGGTGACCGACTGTTAGATGTGATTTATTTAGTGGTCTTGTAAGTAGACCTGTCAATGGATCGGATTCTGATGCGAATCCGATCCGATTAGTCAGATATAGATTGAATAAAAAATCTGATAACCCGTTTATGATCCGAATTCGATAACCCGTTATCTTAACAAATCAAATATGGATTTTACTGATCCAATCCGATAATAATTCGATCTAAATTAAACCCACTTCTTATTCGCAAACCCACTTCTCATTCCCAAATCCATTCCTCCTTTAATCTATCCAAACCCTAACCTATATCATACAACAAAATTATATGTTCTCTCACTCACACTACCATTGACACAAAACAACGATATTCCCAAAGTACGTAGCAAAGATGCAACACAAATCATAAAAATGAGCCTATCGATCGGTGACTACTGCAAAATATTACTCCTCTCGGGTTAGTGTTCTTCCGTTCACTCTCGTTCGATCTCACTTCTCCTCTTCATATTTTTTGTTTTGAAAGTTAAAAAAAGGAGAGGTATTTTGAAATACCTCAAAGTAATTTAGGGGTGTAATGAAATTTTCCCTTCTATGTGTAACCAGTTTCGAGCCTTGCCCTTTGGTTTAAGAGTTAAGCCCTAAACCAAAAGGCTACAAGGTGAACCAGTAGATCAGTGCGTACATATAGTTTGAGATTTAACATTGAAATTTATATCCAAATTGAGCTCTTTCAAGCTAACTCCATCTGAATTATTTATATATATATATATATATATATATATATATATATATTATATGTTGAATTACATCAATTCATATTTCTGATGTTGAAATTTCGTACTATATTACCTGTATTTTTACGAATCGAACTTGATAAACATTATTCAGTTTTTTGGTTTCTATGTTTAAAAGATGCCCTAATTTGTGTTATTTGTTTGTTGATTTGTGCAAGTGTGTAGTTATATTATCGGATAGGTCTATCGGATCGGACATACGATAATCAAACAAATCGGATACGGATTAACTCAATAAAAATCCGTCAGATTATCGAAACAGATCGGATCACTCATTATGCTTATCGGATTCGGATCGAATTAGCCATGATCCGGTCCAAATCCGATCCATTGACAGGTCTACGTACTTGTAAGAGTCTATTTTATAGACTAATTAGTTAAGAGGTGTTTTGCATTTTGGAAACTTACGGAGGTTTGTTGTGGGTGTTTTGACTCTTGGTCAATTGATTATGTGGCAAGGTTGTCGAGTGAGTCTCGAGGTTGGGTATAGTAGTCATTTTTTGCTGGATAATTCAAAATTGCACGATCCAGGCGGTTGTGGTTGTTGAGATGTTTGGTTGTTTCCGATCAAGGTGGTAGGTATCGTGTTACCTTGTGGATTGTATTTTAGAATCATGAAGCAATGAACCAGACTTTTACTTATAGCGTACTTGGGGTATCGGGAGTGGTACTCATTGCCTAAGGATCTAGGAGGGCACATGAAGTGTTTATTGGGATGCATGATTTGAGATGAGGATGATCTCATAGGTTTAGCAGGTAGCTCCATTTGATTTTTCGTTGGGGCCAAGGGCGTCGAGGGATAGGTGAAAGGGAAGGTAATGATGTTGACGTTAGGGTGTGAGGTTTCTTTGGCTGGGTATGTAGATTGACTTGTGAATGGTGGTTCGAGTGACCGATTAGATGTTAGCGACTAATTGTTACAATAGTTAGTTTCGAGGAGATAGTTGGACGTTAAGCACTCTGGTTACGGTGCTCATTTCCCTTTTGGGATTTGTTGACGTGGCGTTGCTGCACAGGGATTCTTATCCTTATGGCGAGTTAGTGGTTACTGTAGGGAGTATCGAGGGTGATGTATGCTCTCACATTGTGTTGGTGTTGTCCTAAAAATGCTAAAAGAGAAGTTAGCTAGTAGTAACTTGTTGTTTCGATGGGATGTGGGTTGCTTGTTGATTACAGTTTGGCATGTGATGGGGTTATGCAGTTGTGAAGATGAATGTAGACTATTTTGTCTCTTAGGGGTCAGTGAGGACGGCGTTGCCAAATAGGCGTGTCAATCTTCTGATAAGTGAGTAGGTTGCTATAATTGATGTCATTAGTTTTGTGCGCACGGTGTTTGAGGCAGTGTCGCCTGAGAATGTAGAGATAAAATGGGGGTCGAAGCATCGTTTTCTGTCATAGAGGTTACTATCAATGTCTATTAAGAAACCCCATGTCAAAGACACACACATGTTGATCGAATGCCTTTAGATATCCCAACTCCTGTTGAATCACATGTATTGAATCGAGAATTCAAGTTACCATAGGAACAAACTGGGTGTGCAAGTTTTAACTAAAATAAATAAATATAAATTATGTAAATTATGTCATCTTTATTGGAAAAATGGCATGTCAAGTTACTATTTTGTTGTGTTTTTGTGTTTTTTCACTCAACCAAAAAAAAAAATAGTAAGTTTGAAGCCACATTTGGACAACATTAAAATCTAACACAAAGAATATTATTGATGTACTCATAAAGAGCCAGAACCCAAATGCCAACAAAGGCTGGTAACAAAGCCAGGAACTCAACAACGAAGCCCTGGACACCCCGATTATTGAAAAAAACAAAAAACAAAATGAGAACTCAGCAGCAAAGGTCTCCAATAATGCCAATAAAGAACATGGTAAGGATCATTGCCATCATTTTTTAAGAAAATTCTCGAACCATCTAGCTGAGTTTTTCTTATATCTTTTCAACCCATCATTGTAATCCACATAATTGATGCCGAAACGAACAGTGTAGCCTGAAGCCCATTCAAAATTGTCCAATATCGACCACGAAAAATATCCCAACAGATTGACACCGTCCCTAGATTTTAAAGAAAATAGTGGTCACACATCTTTTATATATTGACAAGAAAATGAACAGATTATATAATAAGCTTGAGCTCAATGATACAACTTTATGATACAAAAAAATTTTGGTCGGAGACCATATTTGAGAACCAACCTGACTGCTCTATTAACAAACAAGAGATGGCGGAGGTAGTATTTTATCCTGAAGTTGTCGACGAGGGCTTGCTCGACTGTTAATGTGGCATTATTTACCTCATCAACACCTACAAAACATTTGTAGTAAGCGATATATATTAGTGACAAATTGTCCTTTATATTTTTGGTGATAAAATTGAGTTTGCTTAATTGAAAATATTGTAAAATGAGTACAACAGTATAATTATTTACCGTTCTCCATAATCATAATTGGTGGATTATTGTACTTTCTCTTTATGTAGAGTAAAAGATCCCAAATTCCTCTTGGATAAACATATAGCCAATCTGAACCAGCCTGTAGATCCATTTCAAGACATAGAATAGTTCATTATATAAGTCAGCATTTCATGCATATTAAATGTTAAATATAATAATAGTAATATTTCCAATAATTTTGAAGTCTATGTGTGGGACAAGAGAACTGCATGTGCCTAATAGCACATGGTGAATTGTGGAGAAGAGGCCATCCAAAAAAGTAAAAATAAAAATAAAATTTGTCGCCATACCGGCTCGCCAATAAAGGTCCCATTTCTGTCAGCTGGCACAACAACATATCACATATATCAGTTTAGCATAGTGATCTATGGATTGTGCTAATGACACAAGAATTGGATTAATCAAATTACCTGAGAGAGTAGCCCGAGAATCTGTTGTGTAACTTACGTTTAGTGTAGCACCGAGTAAATGTGCTGTATAGTAAGCAGTATAGTAGTTCAACCCAATATAATCATATGATCCTTTTACACTGTTGGATTCTGCGACAGTGAATCTTGGAAGTCGTTGTCTGACAAGACTCCGCATCGTTTGTGGATAGTTACCGTTTATCAATGGGTCCATAAACCTGCAATGATAAAATAGTTGGTAACATTTTTTTGCTATTAATCTCTATTTAATTTAATCACTTGTCACGTTTTAGTGTTTTAGTAGTTAAATTAATTATGCAACACGCAAAACTCACCATCCTAGCATGAAATCAAGTGCCCGTAATGAAGCAAGACGGTCGTTAGTCGAATTAGAGTATGGCACATTCCATGTTGACACAAGCACTATTCCAATTTTCCCCCGCTGTAATGCCTGCAGGTACACATGCATGAACTTATTAGAGTAAATGTTAATTAAGGTTGAAAAGTTTGAACCAAATGTGAAGTTTAAGACTCCTAGTATAACCCTTATAGGGACGGACCCAGAAACTCAAGTGAGAGAGGACCCGGAGGGCAGAAACTCAAGTGAGGGGGAAGGGAGTGGGGACGGATGCAGAAACTTGATCAAGTGAGTGGGGAGGGAGGGGACCGACGCAGAAACTCAAGTGGGGGGATAATGAATTTTTTTCAATAATTTTAGGGGAGCAATTGTAATATTTCGTAAGTATATATATATATATATATATATCAAAATGACAAATTAGTGAGACGTAATAGTGTAAAAAATAAAATAAAATTCAGGGGGGCAATAAGCCGTCCCTGCCTATGACTGTGATATTCAACATATATATTTCTCAAAATGCTACTGTATGAGCTATATATATATATATATATAATATGTTGAAGGAGAACTCGAAATTAAGAACAACCTGATAGTTGGATTTGTACAAACTGACTGCAGCTGCATGAGCAAGAATTTGGTTGTGTGTGACAATATATGGCTCGATACCCGAATCTCCTCCGGTGCAATTGTTTTCTAGCCATGAAGAGCATCGACCAGGTGCAAAGGCACCAGATGTATAACCAGCAGTGCTATAGCTCCATGGCTCATTGAAAGTGGCCCAGTTTTTCACTCGATCACCAAATCTCTCAAAGCAAAGCTTTGCATAGTCATGAAAATCATTCCTGTAAAATTAATAATCTAGCTCAATTGCTTAGTAACACCATATATTATTTTCAATTTTTTTCGGTAAATCATATATTATTTTCTTGAGCAAGTAAGAAGCTTAGCTTGGATTCGATATTTATTCACTTTTGCTTTTTTATTTTCTCTTTTGGTTTAATTGATATTTATTCACTTGATAATTATTAAATGAAGAGACAATTAGTTGAAACACAAAAAGAAAACCCTACCCTTAGAACATAAATGACTCAAATTCTTAGTAGACATTGGATATCCCTTCTTCTTCCTCTCCTTTTTTTCTCTCTATTTATCTCTCAATTTTGGACTTTAAGTCCTTTTTGTTGTATTTTCTTTTAAATAATTAACTCTTTTTATTATTACAATTAGATCCTTATTTTTTATTAAAAACAAAAAATTGTGATTTTTTCTAGCGGTATCCTGTCAAAGAGTATCTTATTGTATAGTCAAATATGGATAATTATTAATATTTATTAAATGAAGCTAGAGACAATTAGTTGAAACACAACCCTAACTTTAGAACATAAATGACTCAAATTCTTAGTAGACATTGGATATCCCTTCTTCTTCCTCTCCTTTTTTTCTCTCTATTTCTCTCTTTCATTGTCAATTTAGGACTTTAAGTCCTTTTTGTTGTATTTTCTTTTAAATAATTAACTCTTTTTATTATTACAATTAGATTCTCATTTTTTATGAAAAACAAAAAAATTATGAAATTTGCTAGCCGTATCGTATAGTACAAATATCCAGCCGTATCCTGCCATGTCTCAGCCATATTAAACATGTATCCAACCATATTTCATTTGTATTTGTGTTGAATATGTATTCAATACTGCAACGACCACCCTAGGAAAGTATTCATGCTTCCTACATTATAAAAGAATTGCATATGTACCTTATAACGAGTCATCAAAACATATGAATTGGTAATGAAAATTGATTCACTTACACAATTTTAGAACTTAAGAAACCGCCATAATCAGTATCCAAGCCTTGAGGAAGATCCCAGTGAAAGAGAGTAACATAAGGCTTTAGACCTGCGTTATAAAATAACAATTTAATTAAGTTCAACAGTGTAAAAATTAAAATTGCTAATAGAGTGTGAGGTTGAATCACCACCATTAGCAAGGAGCTCATTTATGAGGTTGTTGTAGTATTGAATCCCTTCCTCATTCACACCTCCACTTAGCTTCCCAGCTGCAAATTATGAAATTTAGGATTAACACTATGGGAAGGGTTGTGAGATATATATATATATATATATATATATATATATATATATATATATATATATAATCCATTAATTTGAAATGGTAAAGTTTAATTAAATGGTGATGGTATATATCATCATCATTTAATAAAAACTAATCTCTTTGCAATGAATGAATGAATTCATGTGAATTTTTATTTTATTATTTTATTTTATTTATGCCCGCAACCCGACTCGAGCCCCAACCCACTTCTTTAAGAATAGAGAGATTATACCGCTAGGACAAAGTGATCATCTTACTTGGTAACACTCTAGACCAAGCAATTGAGAATCGATAGGCATCTAGATTCATTTCCTTGAGGAGAGCCACATCTTCCTGTGACATGAGGGAAAAAATAATAATAATGTCAATACTCACACTTAAAAAGAACTTTACAATGGAGGGCAAGAGGAGTTCTTAAGAATTTTGATATTAATTGATTATTCAAATACCTTGTATCGATGATAAGAATCAACGGCCACATCTCCATTACTACCATCCTTTATCTTCTCTGCAGTTTCAATATATAAATAATTTCAAAAATCACACATATTGGAATTACTTCTACTCTTTTCTTTTTTCTTTTTCTTTTTTATGTAAATAAAATAGGTGTATGAGTCTCTTGTTATGCAAATATATATATAGAGAGAGAGAGTTCTCAAATTTCTATTTTCCAAGTCATGCACTTTTTTATTTTTTTTAAACACAAATATAGGTGGCAAGTGAGTTTGACATAACAAATCAAATTTTACAATGTAGAAAATTATTTTTCTAATTGTTTTATGCATTTTGTTTAATGATATTGGAAATAGTTTTGATCATAAAAAATGATCCAGTAATGAATATTATTTTTCTAATTGTTTTTATTTATATTTCTTCTTAGCTAGGATTGCTCTTGTTATAAAATTTTCTTCCATTTCACTACTCCTATTTTTCTCTTTTATTTATATTTTTTGCTGGACAAAGAGAATGACCTGGATATTTATGTGTGAATGTATCCCATATACTTTTCCCTTTACTATCCACTCCACCTTCAATCTGTAAAAAAAATAAATAGAATGATCAAACAAAAACAAGCGTACATAATAGGACACACACAACACACACACACAAAATAATAATAATAAAATAAAAAATAAAAAAATAAAAAAAATAAAACAGCACCTCCATTTGAAAGTCTCTACATACCTGATAAGCAGATGATGCTGCCCCGAAGACAAAGCCTGCCGGGAAACTGCTACGGTTGAGCTTATCTAAACCATGAGTTACTGATAAAGCTGGGCTTGTGCGGTCGATCAAATTCATGCCATAAATTCTCTGGGGGAGTTGTAAACCACTACTAGTCACTACTGCTTCAGCAATGACTAGGAGGACTAAGAGGACATGGGCTTGAATTGCCATAACTGATTTTGTCTAGCTGTTGTGTACCAATAGGGAGAGACTGGAAAGGGTTTATATAGAGCAATGCAAGAAGTAAGATTATTTGTTTCTCATTTTTTTATTCCTCCACCGCCTTGTACGTCCAAATTTCATGCACATGCAAGTTCTGGAGGTGAATAAACAGTGCCAAAATTCAGTATACCCGGCCCGGTCACATGTGATTTGAAATATGCCTTTTGAGATTTAATTATATGTATAATTTTAGCTTTTTTTTATGAAATTTGTTATTTTATTTTATCATTTAAATGGGCAATAGATTGAAATTTTGAAATTTGAACTCGAAATTAATCCAATGCCTAACCTAGACTGGATTATAATTCTATTATATATTTACTTCACTTAAAAACCTGTTTTTCAAGCTAGGTTTTTTATTCGGTTATGGAAATGAATAGTTTGCATAGCATTTTTATATATAAAAATTAATACACTTTGGTTCACCGTGTAGAAACCAAAAAAAAAGATGAAAAATTTTATGCTCTATAGCATTAAATTTGTATGGTAACTTTTAAAAGCTAAATGCTCCTCTCTTCTTTTTCTGCTGCCAAGAACATTTTTTGTTCTATGAAATGCTTTCGATCTGCCATTGAAGGACTTCCACTCGGCCACGAGCATTGTTGCTGCTTGGAGTCTCCCAAGCTCCTGTATTAGAGCTGGTCTGTATGGTAGTTGTTTTTGTTACCTCAAACTCACAAAACCTCAAGAAATGACAAAAGAAATAAATAATGCATCACACCACTACTCAAAGATTTATGTGATTCCGCATATAATTAGTGAAAATGGGCTAACAAAATTCACAATGAAAAGAAAACATAAGATTATAAATTCTAAAGCCACCAACTCTTTGTTTCTCTTAAACTCTCCATTTCGACTTCGAAATTTCGGATACAAGAGGTAGGAGTATTGGTTTCTCATTTTTGTATTCCTCCATTGTTTGTACGTCCAAAGTTCATGCACATGCAAGCTCTGGTGGTGAATTAATAGTGCCTTACTTCAATAGGCGGGTCATAATTGGGTATCCGAGGATTTGTCCGGGCTAATCCAGTATAAGGTGTTTCCACATAGAATTGGTAAAATTCGAATTATATTCGAGTGCATGGCCCTAAGGAATTGTTTATACTTAGGAGAAATCGATTTTCAAACCTAATACTTTATGAAACATCAGAACATCAGGACCCAAGTTTTTTCCAATTATAGGTAAAACTAAATCAACCCAAACCCCAAGCCAACCCCTTGGAGTTGATTTAGTTGTAGCTATAATTTTAACGTTTTTATGGAAATTTTCATTTTAAACTAAGTTTATCTTTTAAATGAGCAATAGATCCAAAATTTGAAATTTAATCTTTTTTGCATGAACTTCAAAAAAGATGTATCAGAGGCATTGATTTTTGGACTTGTGAACTGGAAATTAATCCAATGCCTAACCTACACGTACTGGATTATAGTTCTATATGTACTTTATTTATGAACCTGGAAATTATTAGTTTACATAGCAATTTGATATATAAATCTGAAATTAATGTGTATGGAATCTTTTAAAAGCTAAATGCTCTTCTCTTCTCTTTCTGTTGCCATAACCATTTTTTTGTTCTATGAAATGCTTTCAATCTGCCATTGAAGGACTTCCATTCGGCCACGAGCATTGTTTCTGCTTCTAATCTCCCAATTGCTCATGTATTAGAGCTGGTATGTATGGTAGTTGTTTGATGCTCTTTCACAGTTTAGTTTGTATCTTTCTTTGGTTTTTATTTTTTATTTTTTTTTATAACAGGGTGTCCGGGGCTTTGCCGGGACTAATAATGGACCTGTGCAAGGCACCTCCTACATGAATCAGTAAAGTTCGAACTATATCTATCGACGTGACCCTAAAAATTTATTTGCACTTAGCGCCTCCCACATGGATCGGTAAAAATTTGTTGTACATTGTTTTTCTTTTATTTAGGTGTAGCAAATCGGTTATAAGCTCAAAACCCTCTCCATTCAAATGTGATTCGGAAAAAGAACCCACAAAATTAGAAAATCGTTTCTGATTATTATATTGGTCATTCAAATGTTACGTGCTGCCAAAAATCAGAATCACATGCTGAAATATGCAAAACAAGTACTTTACTAATGAAGAAGCTTGATGAAAAAATTCACGGACTTTTGTTTCTATCAACAAATTGTACGGGGGCGAGTTTTCTATGCTAAACCCATGCATCTCAAGCTTAATCCACCAACAAAAACAAAAATCAATTTAAATTACTGCGTGACAAAGAATTCAATTTAAAGTAATCTATTATAGGAGATGGGGCTGATGACAAAGGAATCATTTTGATGTCAGAAAAAATTCATTATCTAATAATTAATCTTTAATTACTAGCTTAAATTACTGCGTGATTCCAAAAATAAAATTTATTAAAAGGGCAAAGAATATACAAGAGTGCCTTAGAGGCTATACATTCTGCAGTTCATTAGAGATAAACGAAGATTTCAATGAGCTTCTGTGTGTGTAACCCATTTGACATTTTTTAAAACATGCTCCTAACAATCTGCACCGCACGGAGTCATTGATGTAAAATGGGTTTGTGGATCATCATGGAGACCGTTTGGATTGTTCAAAAAGAGGGTTTCATATGAATGATAATGCTTATGCGTAGCCTGTTGGAAATAGTGGCCTAGTTACACACAATACTACTATTTTGAAGAGAATAAAAATAGTGGAAAACACTTTTTATTTCACTTGATTGAAAATGGGTAAAATACATAGGTTTATATAGGCTTCAAAATATAAATGTAAATGAAAATTAACACTCCACTAACATAACATTTAGTAAGCAAAACACTAACATAACCATTACTAGTTGTAACTCTCCTACCCCCTACTAACTCCAATAAAAATTCACATAAATATAAAATTAAACACGAAATAAAAAAGCACCTATGACCTTCAAAGACATTTTAAAAATATAATAAAGTACCTATGACCTTCAAAGACTTTTTTTTTTTCAACTCCAACCAAACTCCTTAACTTGTGAAAATCTACAAACTTGAGGGGCTTGGTGAAAATATCCGCAACTTGATCTTGTGACTTGATGAACTTGAGCTCCGCCTCGTTGTTGGTTATGCATTCTCTAATGAAATGAAATCTTGTATCAATATGCTTCCTTCGTTCATGAAACACCGGATTCTTGGCCAAAGCAATTGTTGATTTGTTGTCTAAAAAAATCTCCATTGACTCTTCTTGTAGCATGTGTAATTCCTTCAACAAATTCCTCAACTAAATTGCTTGACAAACACATGAAGTGGCTGTAACATATTCTGCTTCACAAGTTGAGAGGGTGACAATGGATTGCTTCTTTGAACACCATGTAAAAGCAACATTTCCCATGAAAAAACAATAGCCAGAAGTACTTTTTCTATCATCCAAATCTTCGGCCCAATTGCTATCACAATAATTCACAAACTTGAAATCATTAGTAAATGAATAGAATAACCCAAAATCAAGGGTACCTTTGATGTAACGAAGAATCCTCTTAGCCGCCTTGAAATGAGTTATGGTGGGTCTTTCCATAAACCAACTAACAAGCCCAACCGTAAATAATATGTCTAGCCTTGTGCATGTTAAGTATCTCAAGCTTCCAACAAGACTTTTGAAAAATGTTGGATCCACCGTCTCTCCATCTTCATCTCTTGACAATTTAATTCCAACTTCCATGGGCGTGTTCACCAATTTACAATCTTCCATCTTGAATTTCTTGAGAATTTCCTTAGCATAGCCTTCTTGGTGAATGAAAATTCCATCTTTCATTTGCTTGACCTCAATGCCAAGATAATAAGCCATGATGCCAATGTTCGTCATCTCGAACACTCGAGCCATAACCTTCTTGAAATCTTCAAACATTTTTGGATTGCTTCCTGTGAAGATTAAATCATCCACATACAAGCAAACAAAAAATATATCTCCATTCTCACTTACTTTGGAGTAAAGAGCATGTTCATATGGGCACTTTAAAAAATTATTGTCTTGAAAATATTTATCAATCCGCTTATTCCACGCCCTTGGTGCTTGCTTCAAGCCATATAAAGCTTTCTTCAATTTCAAGACTTTGTTTTCTTGCCCCTTTACAACATAGCCCATGGGTTGTTGAACATACACCTCTTCTTCAAGAAAGCCGATTTCACATCCATTTGGTGGATTCTCCAATTGTTTTATGCTGCCAAAGAAATTAACAATCTAATTGTTTCCAAACGAGCTATGGGTGCAAATAACTCATTATAGTCAATTCCGGGCTTTCGGTTGTACCCCTTGGCGACCAATCTTGCTTTATATTTTTCAACTTCACCATTTGCATTCTTCTTTGCTTTATACACCCATTTGACATCAATTGCCTTTTGCTCTTTTGGAAGTGTAGCAAGCTCCCATGTGTCATTCTTCTCTTTAGATTTAATTTCTTCATCCATAGCATTTCTCTATTTTTTGTCTTGTGCCGCCTCTTCAAATCCTACGGGTTCACAATCCGCCAAGAGACAAAAAAGTGTTAGATCACCTAACCTTTCTGTTATCTCACCTGTTTCATTATATATGTCACGAAGACTCTTCATGCAAAGTGGTGGTGTGTCACTTGAACTTGATGATGATGGAGTTGATTGATCTTGAATTGATGGTGGTGAAGGTGATGTTGGTGGAAAAATGGGCTGCTCCATGCCTTCATTTTCTTGTTTTTCATCTGAAATTGAAAAAATATTATAATCTTCATTTGGAGTGTTCCAATCCCATGTGGCTCCCCCTTCGAATTCAACATCTCTACTAATGACAATCTTCCCATTGCTTGGATTGTACAACTTGTAGCCTTTGGAACATGCATCATAGCCAATGAACACCATTTTTTCACTTTTATTGTCTAACTTGGTCCTCCTTTCATCCGCCACGTTCATATGGGCAATGCTCCCAAAAACCCGCAAATGAGAGACACTTGGCTTTCTTCCGTTCTATGTTTCTTGTGGTGTTTTGTTTTGCACACTTTTAGTTGGACATCGGTTGGACAAGTACACTGCACAGTTAACCGCTTCAGCCTAAAATTCTTTAGGCATTTCGTTACTTTTCAACATGCTTCGAGCTATATTGAGAATGGTTTTGTTCTTCCTTTCTGCAACTCCATTTTGTTGGGGAAATCTCAGAACCGTTAAAAGATGGTGAATTCCATTTTCTTCACAATAATTTTTGAAATTATTTGATGTGAATTTACCACCTCTATCGAATCGAAGAGCCTTTACATCATAGCCACTTTGGTTTTCAATAAGTGCTTTAAATTTCTTAAAAATTCTATACACCTCCAAAATTTTTTTAAGAAAATACACCCATGTTTTTCGGCTAAAATCATTAATGAATAATAAAAAATAATTATTCTTACCAAATGATTACGGAGAAATTGGACCATAAACACCGAATGGATAAGTTGTAGTGGCACCGTAGCTCTTGTGGTAGCTTCTTTAGGAAAAAATTTCCTTGATTCCTTTCCAACGAGACATCTTTCACATAATTGATTTGGATTGCTAATGAAAGGCAATCCCTTCACCATTTTCTTTTTGGCCAACAACTCTAATCCTCCAAAATTCAAGTGCCCAAGCCTCAAATGCCAAAGCCAAGTTAAATCATTAAAACAAGCCTTCAAGCATTTAGCCTCGTCGGCTTAAATATTTAACAAAAACATCCGGTTCTTTATCATTGGAACCTTGGCAATCAAATTACCCAATAGGTCTCTTATCGAAAGACTACAATCCTTCATGGAAATATTACAGGCTTTTTCTAAGAGTTATCCCAAATTCAAAATATTATTCTTCATATTAGGCACATAATAGACATTATAGATAAAGTGATGATGCTCATTCTTCAAACGAATCAATATTTTACCTTTCCCTCTTACCGGAATTTGTGATAAGTCTCCAAATGTCACCTTGCCATTTATTTATTTATTAATATTAACGAACTTCTCTTTGCTACCACATGTATGGTTGCTAGCACCGGTGTCAAGATACCACACATCTTCTTGATCACTCATTTCACCTTTGTATGCCAACAACAAAGTTGGCTCCACTTCTTCATCAACAAAATTAGCCTTTTCTTCAACATCGTTAGCAACATTTCTACATTCCGAAGCATAATGACCATACTTTTGACAACTGTAACATTGAATTTGAAATTTATCATACCTCTTTCCATATGACCTTAAGTAATTTCCTCTACCACGACCTCTTATTTGTTGTGAGTCATAGACTTTTTCTTCATTGTTGGTTGTGTGCTAACCGCTTCTTTCTCCTCTTCCATGACCTTTTCCTCTTCCTTGGCCACGTACATTTCCACGTCCTCGGCCCCTTTGATTTCCTCCATGTTTTTCGTCTCTTTCGTTCAGCAAAAACTTTGTTTGTAGCACTTACTCCAAAGCTTCTGTTTCTTCACCACCTTTCTTCATGAGCTTGCAACGAACCCATGAGTTGATCAACAGTCAGGGAATCCAAATCCTTTAACTCTTCAATGGCTACAACAATGTAGTTAAATTTGGAATCCAACGACTGAAGGATCTTTTCAATGACCCTTGTATCAGTCATGGTGGTTTCGCCATATCTCTTTAGTTGATTTACAATAGCTATGACCCTTGAAAAATAATCTAAAATTGATTCAGATTCCTTCATATTCAATGCTTCAAATTCACATCATAACGTTTGGAGGCGAACCTTCTTCACTTTATCAACTCCTTAGAAGGAATTTTAAAGAATCTCTCATAGTTGCTTTGCATTTTCTGCACTAGCAACTCTTTATAGCATTCCATCATCAAAACATTGATGGATGGTCATCACTGTCTTTTGGTCCTTCTTCCTCATGACTTGTAAAACATCTTTTTCAGCTTGAGACAAAGTTGTCTCATCTTCTGGCTCATCATAACCTTTGGAAACAACTTCCCACACATCTAGTGCTCCCAAAATTGCCTTCATACGGATACACCAATTTTCATAGTTATCTTTGGTGAATCAAGGCATTTGAAATGGAACCAAATTGTTTGCCATTTCTTCTCTCTCTCACAAACTAGCTCTGATACCACTTTGTTGGAAATATTGGCCTAGTTACACACACAACACTATACTATATATTTTGAAGAGAATAAAAATAGAGGAAAACTCTTTTTATTTCACTTGATTGAAAATGAGTAAAATACATGGGTTTATATAGGCTTCAAAACATAAATGTAAATGAAAATTAACACCACACTAACATAACATTTACTAGGCAAAACTCCCACTAACCCACTAATATGATCATTACTAGTTGTAACTCTCATGCCTTCCACTAACTCCAATAAAAACTCACATAAATATAAAATTAAACACCAAATAAAAAAGCACCCATGACATTCAAAGACATTTTAAAAATATAATAAAGTTTAATTTCTAACATAGCCACGGACTAGGGGTGGCAAAATGGGTCACAACCCATCAACTCATCTATATTCGCCCGCTTTTACTGGTTTTGAGTGAATCATATTTAAGATGGGTCAAAAATAGATTGGGTAATTTTTAACCGCTTAATTTGAGGGTCAAGATGCCTTGAATATAGTTACCATATTCAACCAATATTTCACCTATCACATAATAGACACACAACACACATCTATTCTATACTTAACTCATTTCTCTCTCTCTATAATTCTCTCACTCACGATCATCTCTCTCTAAATTTGTCTCTCATCAATCCCCTCTCTAGAAATTTCTTCTCTTTCCTTCACTTCTCTCTCTCTCTAAAACGAGTCGATAAATATTGTTGAGTTTAATATTATTATTATTTTTTTTTATTAAATAAAATTTTAAAATCTTTTGGAAAAAAAATAATTAAAAATTAAATAATAATTTTAAAAATAAAAATTTTTAAAAAAATAAAAAAAAAATTAATAAAAAATTAGTTAAAAAATAATAATTAATGGGTTCACGGGTCATAATGGGTTGACCCTGTACCATTTTGACCAGCCTATTTTCAACCAGTTCAGAACAGGTTGAATAAAGGTCTTGACCCATATTTGATCCGCCCATTTTCAACCCAGCCCAAACCCAATCCAACTCGCCCATTTGCCACCCCTACCACGGACTTAACATACGCCCCCATTGAATTTTTTTTATTTATATTATTATTTATAAATTTTTTTAAAATTTAAAAAATACTCCATTATATGATTTTTTTTAATTCAAAAATACTAAAGTCACTCTCTCTCTCTCCCTCTCTCTGATTGATTGAGAGTTATCTTAATCAATTATCTCACACAATCTCATTTTTCGACTCAATTTTTTAAAGTACCCACTACATATTATTTCCTCACTCAAATATTTAGGTGCAAAAAAACTAAAGTAATCGACAATTTTTTGTTTATTCACTCTCTATTGTCACACATCCTCAATATTATACAAATAAGTTTAAAAGGTCAAAGTATCTGTGTTGGACACTGACACATGTTGGCACGACCTTTATGATATAAAATAATAAAAATTATGGCCTAAAAAGAAATTATTAATTGTGTAATTCTTTAAACGATAAATGAATTATTTTTGTAGTTCATTAGTTAGTATGATTTGTGAATTTTTCATCATGAGGTTAATAAAAAGTTATATTACTCTTAAAATACATGATATCATGTATAAAAAACGATAATATTTATTAGTCAACGTGTACCCACCGTGCCTGTATCTTAATTTTTTACGACTTGTTGTGTCCCCGCCGTGTCCGTATCTTAATTTTTTGCGACTCGTGTCCATGTCATTTCATATATGTGTTTGTGCTTCTTAGATGATAATTTACTCTCTCGCCCTAGTATTCACCCATCATCCATCTCCACTCTCATTTACATAAATATAATAAATGAAAATACTGTCAATTAAAATTAGGTTCTTTTGATAATTACTTTATTTTTAAAACAAATATCTTCAATTTCATTTTTTTCAATGCCCATCCCCTCCCTCCCCCCACACCCCCCCCCCCCCCCCAGCCCAACAAAATTCCTATAATTGAGTCACTATATCCATAATCATGCTCGAGTATAAGTCCTTTTGAAATGGAGGGGATTGATGTAGAATGGGTTGCCAGTGATTATGGAGATCGTGTGGATCACTAAAAGGCCAAAACGGGTGAGATGACAAAAAATTTGGGATGGTTTCAATGAGCCCATTTTGTCTTAAAAAGATATATTTCCAATCAAAAATGAACCAACGACCAATACCCAAAAGCACTACACATGACATACACTATTTTCTTTTTAGCTAAATTCCATCTTTTAAGACCCCAAATTTAGATTTTTCTCTTATAGAAAGACTGAATATTTTAGGATTTTTATTACTAGCCTAAACTGCCTCAGATTATTCTGATTTTTATATTTAATAGTTATTACTAATTAGATTTTGTCTCTAACTTTTTTCTTAATTTG